TCTGAACATTTCTTCCCAAGCCAAGATCTAGATGCCAGTTTGTTTATAAAGACTCTGCTGTTTGCCTGAACTGCAAAAAGCTGAATTTGCATGCTGATTAACTCAGCAAGTTCATACCCAACACAGTATGGCATGTGAAAGAGAGCTTAGGCCTGGTATCCTTACATAAGGATTGTGGAAAATGCTGAATGAAAAACAGAAGTGACCCAGACAAATCCCTGGATAGAAACCAGATGCTGACAAACAAATAAACCAAAGTTTGGATGGCAGTGCCCAGGTCCTGCTACTTAAAGTCTCAATCAATGACCAAACAGCTCTGTGAGGGAAATAACATCACTACCCCCCAGATTATGTTATCTAGTAATAAAAGAACTGAGTCAGGTAACTGACTTAAGCATAAGCATCCAATAAATGATGGAATGGGCCACAACCAGGAAGCTGGGTTCTGAGTCCATGTCCTAAACTACATTATAGCAACCCATGCCTCAAGCTTCCAACTAGATGTAACAATTAGTGCTCACAGTGTATGCTAGAATAAAAATCCTCTAGTGTGAGAATTTACTTACCTTAGTCATTTCCTTGTCCCTAGCATAGACAGTTACATCCAAGACAATAAATAGGTGCTTAATAAAATATACTTCACTGGGGAGACAGCTTGATCAGTAAAGTGCTTATGTTGTTAGTAGAAGCTTGATCCCCAAACCCCATGAACTGGAAAGGCCAGGCATGGTGACACATACTTGGTGTGGAAGGTCTCTGCAGAGACCATGGCCAGCACAGTGTTAATCCATGTGGGGCAAGAAGGAAATCCAGTTCAACATGACTCACAAGCTAGTTTTGGTTCAAACTTCAAGAATCTGACATGGGCAGTTTATTTTGGGCATATTTAAGTATAGTACAATTTGAAAATAAAAAGTTCCTTGATGTAACACAATTCCATATGCACAATGCGGCATAGTTACATCGAAACTCTCCTCAAGAAGCACATGTCACTTCTTCCACGAAGATAGTCTCTATAGATAGGCTACATGTGCTATCTTAAGGGCCTGGGGGAGGATCTGGTGTGGTCTCAGCTATACAGACAGTTCAGGTGTCATCAGGGCTATCAGCCATATCCAATCCTGGTTGTAGGAGCCTAGGGGAGACCCTGGCCATACAGAGAGCACAGAATTTTCCTAAACTATTAACTACCTTTGGTCCTGCTTGTAGGAGCTTGGGATAGCCAGGTATGGCCTGGCCCTACAATTAGTGCAGGGGATACCTAAGCTATTAGCCATTCCCATTCCCAGCCTTCTGGGTGGAAAATAGGATATAGATCTCTTTCTTTGAAGAGACAACCCTCTGTGTTTAACATCTCTGGATTCCCTAGTGCTTACCTGTGAGTGCTTACCTTTTGCTCCTGGCATCTGGGTAGACTGAGACAGACAGGTACCTTAAGGCTTCTAGCCAGCCAGATGAGCCAACTGAAGACACTGTCTCAATAAAAGGTGGCTGGTACCCAAGGAACAACATTGATGTTGCCCAATGGCTTCCACATAAATGCACCAACACATAAAACACCCCACCTCCCACAAACAAATCCTTCATTTAAAAAAATCTTTTAGTTAAATTACATATGAATGTACTTGTGTAGATTTGGTGTAATCACTGCACTAGTCTCCATAAGGTCACCCTCTTTTTTTTTTTTTTATACTCCTATCATCAACAATAAACCTCTGCAGTCTGCAGCTGTCTTCTTGCTGGCGTAGGCTGCATTCAATCACTTGCCATTAATCCCCAAGGCTTGGATTTAAACCATTAATTTTCACCGTGGTGTTCTTGTAGCACAGTTGACATGTTGCCTTCACTAAACAACCATTTCCTATGTGAGACATGCCACCTACCTAAGTACACACACCTCCCTGGCCCAGAAAGTTAAATGTTAGCAACAGCTTCTAAGGCTTCCATCCTTGTCCCCAATGTATGCGTCTATCCTTATTTATCAATACAGGTCACTGTCTTGGCCACTGCCTGATGCCCTTGCCTGTCCTTGTACACACACACACACACACACACACACACACACACTTTTACAAGCTAGAATTCTTTCTTCCTTTATTTTATGGAATAAGGTTCACTTATCTTTCAAAGTTCCATCTCTTCCACAAAGCCCTGTCTAGTCACCCAAATTCAGGGATCTGAGGAAGGTTTAGTTCAGTCTGTCACCTGTTCCCTCATCCTCTCCCATCTTCCTAAGAATGATGCAGTGTCTTTTCATCTTTAGCATCCTTCCCAGAAAGCAGGAAAGCCTTACCTCATAGCAAACACAAGTGAGCATGGTTTGGTCAATCCATGTAGCTAGGTACATTTTACCCAAAATAAAGCATCTGGATATTTTATACGGTAAAAAAAAAAAAAAAAAAAAAAAACAGTTAGGATAAAGTTGATGTAACCTCAAATTCATCATTTTAACCATGTCATACAAACATTGTCATTGTGATTATCCATTTCCAGTGTGTTCTCTCACTCCAAGACACCAAATATTTATCAGTCTCCTCCACCAGTCAATTTCCAAGCCCAACAAACCACCAATCTATATTCTGAGAGTATTTGTTTTTCTTTCTAGATTCTTCATGTAAATGGAATAAAGTACCATGTAGACTTGTGTGTGTACTTCCTCTCATGTAGCCCAGTCATCCCTGTTAGAACATGTGCCACACTTCATTCCTTTTTGTGACTGGATAATATCCCAGTACATATTTACATGGTCTCTCATCCTCAACTGATGGACGTGTGAGTTGTTTCTATCCACCAAAATAATTTGGACTATTTTAAGTAATGCTTCCGTGAGTATGTACTCACAAGATTTTCTTGGAGTGCCTGCCTTAAATTCACCATTACCTTAGAAGAGTAAGTTCTGTACTAGGAACTGTACCAGCAGCTTTGTCTAATCCTATAGTCAAGATAATGCTTCTTTTAACAAAATATTATAATTAAACATATATGTTCATTAGTAAATTTTATCATTTTTATACTTGAGAATACTTTAAAATCCCTTATAGTTTGCATTTATATTAGAGACTACACATCTTAAACTCTGTGCTAATTAGTAGAATCTGATTTAAGTGCTTGAATGCATCACTCATTTGAAGCACTAAGCAGGTCCTGGATGGGTTCATTATTCTTCCTTGCTATCATGTGACCTGCTTTGAATTACGATGAGAGTAGGTCCTGGATGCTTACTGCATGCTTGCCACTACAGTACCCACAACTGAGTTACATGCTATTAGTATGTCACAGTTAATTAACATATCTCAAAGTGCTTGCCATTTGCTCAAAGTCACAGAGTTTTAGGAATAGAGACTGAATCTCAGACTAGGTTGTCACATTTCATACAGTAAAGGCAAGGAGCAGACCAAGATCCTGAAAATCTTGTGTTTTATCCCACAACTGTAATCACATGTTTACATAAATCGATATTTAACCTTTAACATCAATGTCTGAAATGAAGAATACAAAATAGGAACTAAGGTCTCTCACAGATGGGATACTCATCTCCAAGCCAATGGCCCAAACTTTCCTTTAGAAAATAAATCACTCCTATTCTTTTTCCAGTGGAATCTATTATCCCATATTAAAAATACAGAGTTGGGTGTCCCACAAATGCAGTGACTCACGCTGGTACAATCTAGATGGCCCTGCATTGATAGATGACAGAAAACAGGAGGACAAACAGTTGTGGGACAGGAAGTGCTAACTGCTGTGCTGCTCTACACCACCCTACCCCTACCTCTAACACTATGGAGTTTGGTTAAGTCAGGTAAATCAGGTGAGAAGCAAGAGGTGGGAACGCACCTATCACTGTGTGCTGCTGTGGAACAGTCAGGTGTTTGTGAGTGAGTGTGTATGCATGTGTGGGTACATGTGTGTGAGTGTGTGTGTGTGTGTGTGTGTGCGCGCGCGCGCTTGCTGGAAGTATTCCAGTATCAGAATTTAGGACAACAGTCATCTAATGAGTAAAAAACAAAAACAAAAACAAAAAAAAACCCATGATCCACATGTTTTTTTTTCCTGCTTTTATTGTGGCAGATTACTATGAATTGGAAGAAGGTAAAGATAGGATAGCCTACTGTTTAGCTATCTTGAGTTTAGATTCTAAAGAATGGTATTCTGCTAACATGTTGACCTCTACATAATACCTGGATAAGCCCATTGATTTGTACCTTGCTTCTTCCTACTATGAGTGGTGGGAAGGTAACCCTACACATTACAGTTCTATCCTTCCTTCCAGCATAGCAAGGTCCACATGATGAGGCAATGAAGCTCCTAGAGTTTACCTCTTCCTGTCATTGCTAGAATTTAATACCATAGTAAGCATGGGGCTTTAGTATTTTAACTATTCACCTCATATAGCAAAGTACACCAAAGGGGGGAGGGGTAAACACATCAAAACTGCTCAAGGATTTCCAGCAAGCTGAACACATTCATATAAGCAACATCTGATTGAACCCAAGCCCTCTGTGGATGGAACATAGATTCTGGTAGTAAACTAAGTCCCACATGCATCCTGTGCCTGAGAGAGTGTAAGATTTAAACATGTCACTTGGGGGCATGGACAATATCAAAAGGAATCGCTAAGGTACTGAACAACTAAAAGAAAAGACTACATGTAAGAAACAACAACAAAGAGACAACTGCAACTCCTCCACTGTTTTCAGCCAACACTTCACCTTTATGTGACTTCAACAGTATGGTAGTCCCCCCTTGAGTCAGGAGGAGAAAGCCTCTCTCTACCTCATACAAACAGCCAACAAACTGGCCTAATGACAATGAATTGAATATTAATTAACTAATAAAGCTAGATTTTAACATGATCATTTTGCTCTGTGATGCTCCTCCTTCACTGTTTCCTGCTTTGAAGGCATACATATCATTGGCAACACTAAAGCCCCATTTACTAAAGGATAAACAAACTACAGGAGAGATGAGAGTGGAAAGCTAATAAAAATTAAGATATTTGCCTCTCCACAATCCACTTGTCTCTTCTTCTTTAATGGATTTGCAAAAATAATCTATAATCAAGGTCCCAAAACTGACTTAATTAGGAGCCCTAAGTGACCTGAAGTGAGTCATATATTGCCCTCTCCTGAGTACCACCCTACTTAAGGCAGATGCCACCAGCCTCAAAACCTCTTATCTTGGAGGAGAATGGATTCCTACTGGCCCAGGGCACCAACTGCCTGAACACTTGATACAAATGTGTTCTCTAGAACCCATTACACCCAGCAAGGCTTTCCTCCTCTGCTTCCCTCAGGTCAATATTCTTTGTCTAATTGAAAAGACAAATTAAGAAAGATTCACGAAGAATAGCTACCCATAAATATGCACAGGAACTAGGGACAGAGTGTCCTTTTGAAAGAAACCCAGAGGCAAAGTCTGAATGAATGACATACTTTTTCCTGTAAAGGGAGTAATCAGGCTAAAAGAACAATTCTGTTGGAAAGTCAGTGACCTTTGCAGAGGATGTGACCTTGAATTTGAATCTTCCTCTGATTCAAAGAATGTGTCCAGTTGTTGATCTCACAATTAGATCTTTACAGAAGTTTATAACTCTTTCCATCAAGAACAGGGATTCTACTGGGGAGTTGGGAGTGAGGGACGGTATCTACATAGCATCATAACTTCCCAAATATATGAGTAACTTTCAGATGGATTTAATTATATTTTGAACTCAAAAAGTAACTCTCAAATATGCAATATCTCTGTTCAAATCCAGATGGGAATTACTAGCACTTAAGATATAATTAATGACCATTACCCAAGAAATCTTCCTCTGAGACATCAGGCCATAATCCAGGGAGGTTTTCAGAACTGACGCTTAAGTGTTGGTAGTGGTAGTTGATTAACAACCTCAGGCTGGCCTAGAACTCACCATGGAACTGAAGATGTCCTTAAAGTCCTGATCCTCCTGACTCTACCTCCTGAGTGCTGTGATTAGGGTTAGGGTTAGGGTTAGGGTTAGGGTTAGGGTTAGGGTTAGGGTTAGGGTTAGGGTTAGGGTTAGGGGATACAGCCATGTGTCTCCATGCCCAGTTTAGGTGCTAACTAGGATTGATTCTAGGACTTTGTTTTTGTTAGGTAATCCTTCTACCAACTCCTAGCCCAACATCAACCTCTGTCTCATGAGCCTTTAGAAAGTAGCTAAGAATTTGTCTTTACCTATAATAGAGGGAGATCTTTTAGGCTTTTACAGTAAATAATACATTTCTATAATCAGATAAGTCAATGAGACAATGTTAAAAAAATAAAATAAAAATCCTGCTTAGTCAAATACACACTGGAGTTCCATCCAACCTCTTCATGTTTTCCCTGAGGTGTGTCTGCAACCCCAAACAGTAGATGAATGAGTCTTCCCCAGAATTACATTGCCTTCTAAACCCTACCTCCTACACATTGCTGCAAGTAGTTTATCTGTGGAAGGCCTTGACCTCCTTTCTTTGTCTGTCTGATTTAAGTGTGTCTGCTTCCTTGGGGCTACCAAGCTCAATGGGACAGCCAGGCAGAGCCAAATGGAACATCAGCCAATCTCCAAACAATGGGTGCCTTTCTCTGTTTGTCACATGAGCAGTGTTGTATTGCAGCTATTGTTCCTCCAAGTAGGGAGAAAAGGAACAGCTTCACAGGAACCAGCTCTTTTCCATGCCCGCTTCAGCCATCACCAAAACTAAAAATCATTAAAAAAAATTAAATGTGCTGTTTGAATGAGGCACCATAACCCCAAACAAAAAGCCAAGTGCATCATCCTAGAACATCTGCATCATCCTGTCTTGCCGAGAAGGCACATTCCCAGGCCCAACACAAGCATTTCCATCTTCACTGATGGCATCTGCGCATCTGTTTAAGGGATGTAGCAGAAGCAAGAAAGAAACTGACTGGGCCTTACACTGAGTGCTGTGCCGGGGTTATAGATCTTAGTCTAGAAAGCAAAAGGTGCAACGGTGAGGGCACCAAAGGATATGGAAAAAGAGACAGGTGTGCTTAAAAACAGTAATGGTTTTCCAGAAGGCAACAGGAGTGTTAGTGAAAGAGGCAGAGCAGGAAGAGAAGAAGAAGGGAGGGTCTTAGAGCATCCCACAGAGACTGAGATCATCAGAAACCAACAGACCAGGACAGCTTCAGATGGCAGAAGGAACCAGAGAAAACCACTGTCACTGTCACCAACAACAGCTCAGGCAAACAAGCATGTTGGGCTGGGATGTAGCTCAGTGGCAGAAGTGACCGTTTAGCATAACACATACATTGGGATTGCACTCCAGTTATACACACACACACACACACACACACACACACACACACAAATTTAAAGTTTTTTTTTTTAGTTTGCATATGGGTTTGTGTGTCTGCTTGCTGGAAGTGTATCTCACCATCCTCTCAAAAAAATGTACAAAGATTATACTTAGTATATTGTTTTAAATAGTAAAGTATGAACTTCCTCCACAATCCCAAACTTTAAAAGTCAACTATTCAAAGCCTTTTACTATGTAGAGTGACATTTATGCTAGGTAAGTAGCTTCAGGCTGGGACAGCTGACACCATCATGTGGTAAAACAATCTTCAAACAGGTCAAGAGTAAATCTAAATTCCACCCCTAATGACTCTAGAAAGTGGGAGTCCTGGCCATCCCTTCCTGTGAACTCCCTCTGCGGTAAAAAGGCTCACATTTTCCCGTCATGCTTTCTCATGAATGGGGAAGGATCTCTAAACAAAATTTTATTTGAATCTCAATAGGGTGCCCACATCTGGTCTCTATAACAAAATAATAGCAGTAACATGTGAAGGGTTCCTTCACAACTCAGATAGTGATGTGAGGGACAGACAGAAACCAGTCCTGTTACTCCATAAATAGCTATCATTAAAAAACGATTCTCAACTCCTTTGAAATGGTTTCTCAATGCTCCTACCACCATGTGTTTGTTGGGATCACCCTGCCTGAGGTGTCCTGCCCACACAAATCCTCACACAACATTCCCCATCAGTACACCCAGCCCTCTTCCTGGCATGAACTCTAAGCCACTCTCTGACCTGCCTATTAAACCCTAACTACACCCAGCTCCACCTTGTTGTCTAGACAGACAGACAGTGTGTGTGTGTGTGTGTGTGTGTGTGTGTGTGTGTGTGTAGAGAGAGAGTATATATAGTGCATATATATAATATGTATATAGTGTATATATAGTGTGTATATATAGTATATATATATGTGAATATATATTTAATCTAGATTTTTTAAAGGTGTTAACTCTTTTTTGGCAATTGTAATGTTTATTGTTATACATTTCACACCTAATAAATATATGATGAAGAAAAGAATAAAATTTAAACCAATTAATTGTAAAAGCCAAAGGTCATATGTTGTCATCAATTCTTCATCCAAAATAAAGTGTTTTTGAAAATTCAAATATAGTGGTACTTACCTAGACCCCAGCGCTAGGAAGGCTGAGGCAGGAAGACCACTCAGATTTTGTCTATTCTGGACTACATACTTAAACCAAGTCTCAGAACAAAACAAACATTTTTTTTTAAATATACCTCTCAAGACTGTCAGTGGGGAGGAGTACTTAATTTTTTTCTCCATTTTGGCTGAAGGATTTGTTTCTTAAATTTGAAACCAAGATGTTACAGTTTTATTTTATTCCATGAAAAAAATGACTAGAGTTGATGAATTTTGGTTTTATATTTCTATCAACAAAATTTTTTAAGGCTGAAGGTATACAGCTTAGTGGAAAGATGTGTGCTTAGCATGTCCGATACCATGAGTTCAACTTCCAGAACCTCTACAGCATCTGTCTGTTTGAGACAAGGTCTCATTATTTAGCCCCTACTGCCTTAGAATTCACTATATAAACCAGGATGAACTCAAACTCTTAGAGATCTTCCTTTCTCTGTTTCCATAGTGATGAGGTTAAAGTTGTGTGCCACCACATCCAGCTCCAAGACCTTTGTCAAAGATTTATTTTTATTCATTTTAATTCTGAAGTGTGTGAGGATAAGTGCTGGTAGCTGTACCCCAACATGGGTTCTAGGAACCAAATTAGGTCCAGAATGTGCTCTTTATAGCTGAGCTGTCTGTCCAGCTCCCAAAATATATTTTGAAAACTAACTGAAGGATAGGAATGTATCACGATTGGTAGAGTGCTTGTCTTCACACAAGAGATTTTGAGTTTTACTACCAGTGATGTATAAACCAGTCATGGCGGAACATGCCTGCAATCCCAGCACTTGGAAGGTAGAGGCAGAAGAATCAGAAGTTCAAAGTTGTCTTTGACTAAACAATGTGTTTGTGGTTAGTCTGAGCTACATGAGACCCTGTCTCAAAATAACAAAACAACAACAAAATAAAACCTAAGCATTTCGAAGATTTGTAAAAGACCCCTTATACAAGATGTCATCTGCAGCTGTATTTTAGAACTAGCCATATTTGCACAGTTCATCTGGGTTGGACATGATATTAATAACACGGAACTTGGTCACCCCCACAATGAGGCCTCCTTGCTCCAAAGATCTGATGGTTTTAACAGATGCTAATATCCTGTACATGCACCTAGCAAGACAAGGCGTTCCACACTGAAATTCTATTTCCCTTGTCTTACAAGTGGAGTCGAGGGGGATGGGGAGGGTGTATGATTTATTGCTCTCTGAGTAGGAAATTGAGGTGGTTAGAATGCTTTACATACTTGCTTTATCTGGGAGAATAAATCATTAAAAATGAAATAGGAGAGAAATCAATAGGCATTAATAGTGTTAACTACAGGATGTAATGTTACAGCCGTACTTCCAGACTGGCTCAGGGCATGGCATTTATCATCAAAGAACAGACTCATGGCCACTGGCAGTTGTGCAGATGAAGTTCAATAAAATAAAACACCAGTGGTGTGAATATTGTACTTCATTCATAGCACAAACAATCTTTTAAACTGCATAAATTAGCCCTTTACAGAAAATAAAAAATGTTTAAAAGCAGTAAGAATGATCATGGCGAAAGCTCATCTTCAGTGTTCAATATGGATAG